GCTACTGAGGATGAGTACCGAGTTTGGAATAATGGTGACGCGTTGGCGGACACCATGTCCAACTCGAATTATGATCAAAGGCAATCTCAAAGTCGCTCTGGAAGCGAACCCCCAAATAAGAAATCAAGGAACTCCCAAGATGCAACTTCGTCTAACCGGTCAAAAGCCATTGGGAAAATGTTTTTCAAAACCAAACTTTGTTGCAAATTCCGTGCTGGGACGTGCCCCTACGTCACTAATTGCAACTTTGCTCATAGCATTGAGGAGCTTCGAAGGCCACCTCCAAATTGGCAAGAAATTGTGGCTGCTCATGAGGAAGAAAAGGGGGTATCTTCGGAGCCAAGGGAAGAATATCAAATTCCAATAGTCTCTACAGGTTATGGTGTGGAGACTCAGAGGTCGTATAAAGGGAGGCATTGCAAGAAGTTTTATACTGAGGAAGGCTGCCCTTATGGGGATAATTGTACTTTTCTTCATGATGAGCAGTCGAAGAATCGAGAGAGTGTGGCAATAAGTTTAGGTCCAGGAGGGTATGGTGGTGCTGCAAATGGAGCAAATAACAAGCCATCAAATTGGAAAACAAGGATTTGCAATAAGTGGGAATTGACAGGATATTGCCCATTTGGAAGTAAATGCCATTTTGCTCATGGCGTTGCAGGTATGATTTATTTACTTTTTCCGTTTTTGCTTTACGGAAAGCATTTGATGTTGATTCTTTATATATGATAGCTCAGTTTTGAAAAATCAGTAATTTTGCTTGCTCTAAGATTTGAGAATGATATTAATCCATCTTCCATAGCAGTAAATGATTCCCTTGTGTTGCCACTTTTTCAATGTAACTTTTCATAGAGCTAGCCATCTTGCTTGGGCTCCCATTCTATAATTTTTATATCTACTTTCAGTTTCATTACCTAGATTCTTGGTGTCCTGCATTTCCAATGTCCAAATAAGTGAGACACTGCTACCTATAATTTGTGGTAGAAATTTTAATTTCATGCAACACTTAAGTCCAAGCTTTTCCGTGTTTTGCTTTTGATTTAGGAAAGCACTTGAGTATATTAAGAAATCAATTATGGTTAACTACCACTATTGTTGGTTTTGTAATAGTTTCAAGATTATGCTATACCGGTTAACTTGTTCTTTTGGCGCATCATTAACAAAGACTAACTACCTATGCTTTTTCCTTGTAAAAGAGAAACATGAACACATGATTATTTGTTTTTCCTAATAAAGCAAAGACACTTGTCAACACACTTTCGCGTTCATTTGTCTATCATAGAGAACCTTGGGACAGAAGTTCTAGATTGCAAGATCATAACGTAATTCTATTCCTAACCGGCCAACCCATCTTTTATTTTATCCAAGCTCTAGGGCGCTTCAGTGAAAAGTTACCTGAACAGAAATATGCAAACTACATTGTAAACTTATTGTTTAACTTGTCCACCTCGGTTATTGGTTATGGCAGAGAGTGTATACTCATTATGCATGGAAGGGAAGAAATTTCCCCCCCTCTCTTACTTAACCATCTGTGGCCTTGAAGCAAGGTGCTATTGAAGTTGCCCATGCTGATTGGCCCAATTGAATAGTTTGTCTGTTTCTTTATTGTTAATATAAGTGTACATGAGTATGATTAGAGAATAGGAAGGTAAAGGAAGAAGACCAGCTGAAGAATGCCCTTAGGACTCGAGTATCCAAGTAAGAGGCTACCATCAGTACAGATTAAATTATTGCAGTTAAGCCCAAGATTTTCCATGTCAAGTTATTGTCACTTGTCCTCCCCTGTTATTGCTTATGATAGAGAGTGTATACTCATTATGCACGGAGGGAAGAAATCTCCCCCTCTGTTTTATTTTTATTTATTTTTAACCATCTATGGCCTTGATGCAAGGTGCTATTGAAGTTTCCTATGCTGATTGGGGCAATTAAATAGTTTCTCTGTTTCTTAATTCTAGTAGAAGTCTACATGAGCATGATTAGAGCATAGGAAGGCAAAGAAAGAAGGCCAGGCGAAGAATTCTCTTTAGACTCGAGCAGCCAAGTAAGAGGCTACCATTGCTCCAGAACAAATTATTGCAGTTTAATCCTGGAAGAATACAAAGAATAAAAGACCATCCACAATCAGTAATTCATCCAGGGGCCTGGGTCTATTCCCCAACCTGCTTAAAAACCTTAGCAGAAAATCCAGGACAGAACAATTGGTCCAAAAAAGGCCTACATCTGACTGAGGAGGAGGCCACAAGTATTATTCAAAAATATTTAATACAGGCATATTTAAGCCTAGGCAAGGAAAGTTCCTAATTAGAAGCTCTATATCATTTTTTAATTCCATTTTACAAAACTAAAATTGGACGTACCACCTGAGCCTCTATAGTTTTGGAAGAAACAAAGCTTTCAACATAATTAGCAGTGGAGAACAAGATGGTGTACTGACTCTCCACTGCTGACACAGAAACTATTTATGGAAATTTGTATTGTTTGGGTCTGTGCTGCCCGTAAGCATATATATATATATATATATATATATATTGAAATAGTGCCATATAATAAATAAAACACACACACACACACACACACACACATACATTCCTTTTTCTTTTTACTGCTTAATATCTCCTTAAGCCACACAAGTTTCTAACTCCTATAATGTCTTCAAGGGAGGAAGAAAACAAATACACAAACTCTAGTTCCTACTCTGGATGTTGCTAAGAAACCTGGGGTATTTAATATTCCAACTGTTAAAGTTTAAAACAATTGTTTGCACATGTCCTAACAGCTTAAGGTTTTGGGATCTAGTGGTTGCCTAACATAGGATCAGAGCATTGGTTGGTGGAGATCCTTGGTACGAAATCTCCAATCCCCATTCTCACTTCTTTGTTGGTTTGCAAGGTGCCCCATGGGGCTGCACCTATACGTTTCTCTCTCTGAATTTCTCTGCCACTCCGCATGTAGGATGGCGCTTGCACGAGAGAGAGGGTGTTAGTTTGATATACATTCCCTTACAGCTTAAGCTTTTGGGAAAGTGGTAAACCAAGTATGTATATCACCTGACGAACTGTACCGATGGTGTTAAACACAAATTAGGGACCGGCTTAAGAGAGGTGTGGCCGGACCACTTTTGAGGTGATCAATTTTTGCTCGTTAAGGGTTTGACTGGTGTATTGAAGTCTCGAAAAAATCCTACATCTTGCATGATGGAGGCTTGCATGGAATTTACACCTCAAGAGATAAAGCTTAAGCAAGGCTCATGTAGATGCATAATGTTGTTGTACAACTTCATCTCGTTTGGCTGCCAGTGCTGTTACTGTTGTATTGTGAGTTGGTTTGGTAAGGATTACTAGTTTGTTTATTTTGCTTACTTCTTTACGTTTTTTTCTCTAATTTGTAAGTTTATCAGCTACAAGCATTAGTATAAGATCTGGCCAAAAAAAGGAACAAAGTAAAGTGTTAGTACAAGTTTGTATGGTGTGATGTTTCTGTTAAGGTCACGAGTCTGCACACTTTGTTGACATTAAATGAAAATATGCTCTTATCATCTGTAGGCCTTAAATTTGTATGCCACTGAAGAGTAGCATGCTAATATGTTGTCTGGAATGTGGATGATTTGTCTTCAAATATTTGAGGGTGTGTTTTTACGTTTGGGTGCAATATCTATAGAGACTGTAGTGATCACATTAATATCCTCTTTCCTGAAAAGAAAATTGTAATAATCAAACTGCAGTTCAACTTAAACTGATGATGCTTTCATTATCTAACTTTGGAATTCTAAACTTCTGACTACAGAATTACACCGATATGGTGGTGGGCTTGTGGAGGGAGACGCTAGAGAGTCTTCTTCAGCCCCTCCTGACAATAAGCAGGGTGGAGTACCTTCTAAAACCCCAGCAGATACTGTTGTAGTATCAGTCCCGCTAGTTCCTCATTCTGATGTTTATCACCTCGGGGTTCCATCACAAAGATCATCGATTGTAAATCAGAGGCCTGGGCAGAGAGCCCATCAGAAATGGAAGGGACCAGACAAAATCAGTAGGATATATGGTGACTGGATTGATGAGATCGAATAAAATCTGGTATCCTCACTTCCAAATGTTAAAGATGTGTTAAAGATGTACTGCGGTAACTTGCATATATCCTCCATGGATTTAGATAGAAAACTAGATACCAAGTCTCTGCAAGAGATTTTGGGATCATGTAGCTGTAACTTATCTGTAGAAGTAGTTTTTGTTTCCTTGCTTCTAGTTTAGGTTTCATGCCTGGCTTGGTGAAGGCACAGCCCATCTGTTTCATGTGCGAATTTTGTTGTTACAATTAGAACTTGAAGCTTGTATCACTCTCTTAGTTGTCCTTATTACCACAAACAATTATGGAATGACCCTCTTCGTCCAGAGAGACGATGGTCATTAGCTTGTACCACTTTGTTCAAATTATCAATTAAAATAATTAAACATCTCGCTTTCACCCATTTTGGCGTTGATCATAGTACTCGTATCAAGTTTTTCCCTATTTTGAGGTTCTTTTTCCTGTCTGAAACTTTCTTCTCTGAGATGACTGCAAAATAACTCGACTAGAATAAAGGGACGAGGTGGCAATGGGTCGTGTTCGGGTTGATCTAATTTATATTCGAGTCCTATATTTGTGTCGTGTAACAATATAATGTTTCTTCCAATTGGATATTTAATATTGTTTACAATTTAGTATTTAATGTTTCTGCCCTTTATGATATGAAAACTTCATATCTACAAATTTAATTTAAAACGTTTACCCTTTTGTTTTAACAGCCAAAGATGAGGGCGTGATATATTGGTGGCTTGGATTAATAGTGAAGAGAGCAATTTGTTGAGCCCATCCTTCTCACAAGGACTCGCTCAAAGCTCAATAGCTTTGGTTCTTACCAAAGACTAGAAACCAACACTTCCACATCACCCTCCCAAATTAAGCCAATCATTTTTGTATGCTCACGAAAACCAGATGCATCGACATGCCTCCTTGTTTCTCTCTTGCCAATGACTGACTGGAAGCTATCCCACAAACACAAACTAACCCAACACTAACACCAACACCAACACTTTGTTGTTCTCTTTGTAGCTTCATCTCATCACAATTCTTGTTCTTCTTCTTTGAATATCCATGCACTAAGGCTGGCCGGAAGTGCAAGCCGATCTCCGGCCACGGGTTTTTTTAATAAGATATAGCTGCTCAATCTTAGTTATGCAGGGAATGTCAGCATCGACCACACCGGATGCAGCTTATCCCCCATCCTCACAGCATGTGGCCTCCCCGCCAATTACTGTCGTTCTGACCGTCCTTCTCCTTGTGTTCTTCTTTGTGGGATTCTTTTGTATTTACTTTTGCAAGTGTTTCATGGACCATATCCTTACCTCTTTTCAGCGCTCTCCCTCCGGGGACCTCGTGGGCACGGCGGTTGTACCTAAAGAAGGCCTTGACGTCTCACTCATAGAATCATTTCCAACTTTCGTGTATGCAAGCGTCAAAGATTACCGGATAGAGCAGTACGGCCTAGAATGCGCAATTTGCTTGGTGGAGTTTGAGGACGATAGCATGCTGCGCCTCTTGACGGCTTGTTGCCATGTTTTCCATCAAGAATGCATCGACCTCTGGCTCGAGTCTCACAAAACTTGTCCATTTTGTCGTGGAAATCTCGAATCACTGCCCTCGAACTTAGCGGAAAAGTCTCCGGTGCTTGCTCACGAGAATGTCGCCATGCAGGAAATTCATGAAGGGAATGAGCCTGTGTTGTTGGATCCGGATGCTGTCCACATTGATATCAAAGGTGAACAAGGCCAAGACCAACATCATCAAGGAACTAGTGCTAGTGATTCGTGGCCTCCGAATAAAAATAATAACAATAGCAATATGGTTGCAGAAGATGAACAAAGTAGTAGAACTAACCATGATCATCAAAACGTAGAGAATGAAACCGAAAGATTTTCGAGGTCACATTCGACAGGGCACTCCATAGTTAGGCCTAGAGCAGAGGAGGATAGATATACACTGAGATTGCCAGAGCATGTGAAGATAAAACTTCTAAGAGGGCATCATAACTGGACAGGAAGCTGTACCACATTTGGGGAGTTCTCACGCCAAACACACAATGCGGCTGGTGGCCACTTTGGAGAGGTCTCTGGCTCTGCTGGTGGAGGAGACATTAACAGACTTTAATTTTTTGTATTTTCGTTAATTTGTTTCTCTTCAAGATCTTCAAATAATTTTTTTTTTCTCTCCTTTGGTTTTGTTCTTTTGCAAATACAGAAGGGTAGCTTAGCTGGCAACTTAGATGTGTTCATGCATTTTAGTTGGTTTGCCATTTTTTTTTTTGGGTCTGAACCACGAGGTGGTCCTGGATGGGCCCCAATTATGGATGACACCTTTAGGCCTTAACCACAACCCAGACTAATCCTCGCTCACACCGGATCGGCCCGTAAGGGGTAAAGTGCTAGCCAAAGTGGTGACTCCATATGAGAGCAGGGATCGAACCCTTGACCTCTCTTAAGGAATGAGAGTGCCGAACCACTCACACCAACCACCTTGGTTAGTTGGTTTGCCTTTTCCCTTGAGCACTGATCTTGCTTTTTTTTTTTTTTTTTCGAAAGAAGAAAACATTACAAAGAAGATCCCCATACAAGTCAAAATACAATATGTGTAACACCTCTTTAGGAAAATTCCCAAACCAAATACACATATTCACAAAAGCGTGTCCTTTTTTAGCCTCTGCCACTTGAATGGTTTCATGATAGAAATGTGATAAAGGAATAATTTTGAAACCCTGTAGAAGTTGCAAAATGTATTAAACAATTGTTCGAATTTGCCGTGGGGGTGAGATATGATGAGTTAGAATTTGTATTAGAACTTTGGAATCGCTTTCAATTTTCTGTAGCCTGAGAGATAAACATACAAAATTCCCAGTGCACACATGATATATGAATGTAATATATTCTTTTTTACTTTCAATTAATCAATCAAATTTACATGTGTATTATTGTCAATTTTGAAATGCAATCTCAGTTTTTATATATATCAAGCGTAAATTCCTCATTAAAAAAAGGGTAAATTGTAGTATTAATATTTTTTTTTGGGCATTTAGATACATGTGTGTGTCCATGTTATACACAATTCCATCCCTAGATCAAAACAAAAACATGAATCTTGTAGTGCAAGTGTTTTTTTCCAGTTTGGCATCGTTTGACACTGCTTCTTTAGAATGTACTTATGTTCATAAGCGCTTTTCACAAAAGCGCTTTTATTATAAAGATGTTGAAATTTTCATAAGAAATCCAAGTGCTTACTGAAAAAGAACTTGGGAGTGCTTCCTCTAGAAAGCGCTTCCATAACTTAGAAGCACTTCTAATATTTTCTGCCAAACTCTGTCAGAAGTGCTTTTGGTTGTTAGAAAACACTTTTAGCCCTCCCAAAAGCACTCCCAACACATGCTATCATTCCATTTTCACTATCTTGTTTATGTGACATGTTTAATTTCATAGATGTGCTCAGTGGCAGAGCCACTCCTAGACCAGGAGTGGCCCTACCCCGCCCCCACCCCCCTCTTTTTTTTTTGACCTCTCTCCTATATTATATAATGTAATATATACAACTTATTAATAGACAACTTGTATGGCCCCTTTAAAAATAAATAACTAAACATGATTAATTTTGAAAATTTTAGTTCTAACATGTGTTTTATATGTATTTGATATATTTGTGCTTTCTATCTCGGCCCCCCTTGAATGTGCTAGACCTAACCTAATCATCTTGATTGATCTGATACCACATGTAACATTACTTCCAAACCAATATGTCAACAATACTTAGAGACAATGTATGTATGAAAACAAATAAACTACTTGCTATCAGTGGCGGATCCATAATTCTTACCACTCAATGGGTCAGCATGTAAAAATACTCCAAAACTTTTCTAGACAACAATTATCATAACCTTTCAGTACTATAATAAAATATACATAAAAGAATTATAACCAAGTTTTCGGAAAAAAAAAAAGCAAAGTAGTTCAAGCAAAATAATCAATCCTGAAAATGTTTTAAAGTTTTCTTCCACTTAAGCAACTTCTTGCTGATATTATGCTCATTATTTTCATATATTATATAGTGCTTGTACATGTAAAGCTTGGATTGATAGAGAAGTAGGAATAAGGTCGGGAGGTATATAGAAGTTTGTTTAATTTTGTTCTGACTGAGAGGCAAAGTACGTTTCCGGCATTTCATCGAACAGCTTACGTGCGTCCATCAGTAGATTATAAGGACGTTAGTTGAAGAATTGTGGAAGGGTAATTTCGAGACTAGAGTAAAACCAGTCAGTCAGACCACTATCTCCGGCGAACAGCAAAATCCTCCGTTCTCCATGGATTCTCTCCCCAACTCCTTCAATCCAAACAAACGTCTCAAAGAAGAGTTACTATTCTCTCTCTAAATTCCTATGCTTAACTAGAATTTTTTGATTCATTTTTTAATTATCTTCTTCTGAATTTTAAAACTTTTGCAGGTTTGTGAGCAATTTGACTGGATCGTCCATGATGGAGATTGCCGCGCTTACTACAATAATCCCTGTAAATTAACCTAATTTCGGATTTTCATTTCTCAAGTTTAGAACGAAAGGGTTATGTTTTTTGTTTGTGTGTGTGTGTGTATGTTTTTGTAAATTCTGATGCCATTTTCCTGGTTGCCTTGCTATTTTTTCAGATTCTGATTATACTGCGGCACTCAGTTGGCTCCAATCCTGTTGTTGGTAAGCCACAAGGACTTCTATTACCATTCAAATTTTTCTTTATGTTCTTTGTTCTCAAGTTACTAAAAGTTGATCCTTATAATTATTTGGGGGTAATGAACAAAAAATGGGTTCTGTAAATTTGTTGTTCTTCTTCTGATGTGTGTTTGTCTTAATGATAAAGATTAGGCACCAAGGGTTTTGTGCTGTGTGATAGAACATTTATGAGAAATAAGTAAAATATCGTCTTGCGGTAGCATTGTTGACTAATGCCTTGAAATTCAGGCCTAGTTGGCTGACTGATTGTGCATGTAGGTAAAATTATTCTCTAGCTGTTAGATTATATATAGATAGCTTAGATGCATTCTCATTTGTCACATCTTAGTCGTCCATGTTGGTGCCAAGAGTTGCCTTAACTATCACCAAAAAATCGTCATGGACTGCAACGTTATAAACTTCCCATTCACATGCCATGTTCGTGACCACATGCTAATCTTCCAAACCATGTGCAATCCTCATGACCACAGGCACCTAGAAACAAATCGGAGGCAAGATTGTCTAAGGTGTCGTTGTGACACTGGCCAAGTAGTTTGCAACAATTAAGTTAAGGTGCAATCCAAAATCAATTTTGGACAGATTTTGTAGGGTTTTGGCTTTTGGAGAAGTTTTGCAACGATTAAGCTAAGGTGTCGTCTGTGTGATGCAAACATATTATCTGATGCTAGCATAGTACTCTAAAAGTTATGTTTCATATTTTCTAACATCATCTTCCTCTGTTTTGGTAATACCAAACGAAGTCATGCGTTTATTTTGTATCTATTCACAGTACAATTAGCTTCTGGTCTCCAAGCTCGTTTGATATGTGATGCAGCTAATACGTTTTTTTTTCTGATATTAAATTTTGTCCTGTAATTCTTTTACCATAGATGTCACATTGAAGAAAAATGATGATGCAGTAGTCAGTTCTAAGGGCAGACCAGCTTACATGTCTACAATGGCTTTCGATTTTCTTCTCATCGTGCTTCCAATCATCTTAGTTTACACTGTAAGTGTTTTTAACTTGAGTAATTATGAAAACTTCTGAAGGATCCAAGCATATTGTGTTTGACCTGTTTTATGTTAGCTTTTGAGTAATCTTTGGATTGTGGCTTACAATCGTTTTTCTCCCACCATCTTTTTAAGAATCTGACAGCAGTGCCCTTGTTCATGAACAGTCAAAGTTTCTCAAAGTCATAGTGTCTAACTGTAGAATCTATATAGTTGGGCCTCCTGGTGTGGTTACATTATTTATTATGCATAAATGACATATACCTATTATATTCACAATGATCATAACTCACAACAGGTTTTAGCAGAGTGGATGTATATCTGGGCAACTTTGTTGACATTGTTACTGTTTATCAGAATTGCAGCCAACAGGTAAAATATATTAGATCACAATTTTGTTATAAAGAAATTATCGGATCTTTATGGTTTACTTTTGCATGATGAAGTCATTCATGGAATGTTCACAATGCTAAAAGATATTTGTATGAGCAGAGGAGCATATATATGGCTTGGATATTGATACACTGTTGTATGCACTTCAATACAGGTTTGGTTCTTATTCTAATTTGAAGGAAGATCCCTATTCTGTACGAAAAAATATATCGTCTTACAGGGTTGCTACGGTATGCAGTCTCACTTAGGTCTGCGTAGGTTATTTTTGATTAAAAAAACTTTCCTGTAACTTTTACTATCTTCTCGTGTGAACAAAGTAATTGCTGCAGATGATCATTACATGCTTGTGTATCTTGGCTGTTGACTTCAAAATTTTCCCTAGAAGATATGCCAAGACCGAGACTTATGGTACTGGCTGGGTAAGAATTTTGCAACCAGTATGCAACAAAATTATAGTCTTGTTAAGTTTATTGTAATATTTTTGTTCTATATGATTACTTTTGATTGAGTTTGACTAGATTTTGTTTATTTTCATTAGAGTGTTACCTGTACTACACGACTCTTCAAAATGATATGTCAATAACGTATGTTTAATTTCTGTTCCATTACCAGCATTTTCTTCCAGGTTATCATCAATTGCTGATTAGTTTTAATTGTCTGAATTTTATTTGATAACATAACCTCATGAATATTTCTTTCATTCTTTATCAATTTAGCCAATGTTTAATAGCAGACTTAGGGAGGCAATCATATTAAGTTACTCAGGCTCACTAGTGCTCTAGTACTAGTTTCAATTTTTGTTTTGAATGAAGAAATGTAGAATTATTTCGGATCATATTGTTCGTCTCTTTTTTCTTTCTTTGCCTTCCTTTCCCTTAATTTTTGTGTACTTTAGATATTCTCTTTGCCTTGAGACCTATGCCACATGTGTTAAAACATACATATCTCTACTGAATGAGTGTTCATTGAGAAAAGAAATCAAGACAGAAGAGAGGAGACCTCAATTGAAACATTTTCCATACATGATTATGTCAGATGGATCTTGGGGTTGGCTCATTTGTCGTAG